AGAGGATGAAATTCCGAGCATGCAAGCCCTTCTGAGCCATTAAACTGGAGCCTCAGTGCTGGATGGGAAAGAATCCTCCTTTTGCTACATCTGTGCCTCAGAAGATGTGCGGGTAGCTAATGGAGTTTAACACACCACAGTAAGGAGCAAGCAGGTTCATCTCTAGCATTCATGGTGAGCAACCACATCCTCTGCATTGCATGGTAGAGACTCTCCTGCAAGCTAATTCAGGAGGATGCTTTTGTATTCGATTTTTTTTTTTTTTAATTATTACTATTTTCTGAAAAAGTCAAATAGTGAATTTCAACTAGAATGACCTTGTCAAAAATGAAGACCAGAAAGAATCCCAAAAAACCAAGTTGTTAGGTATGACATTGGAGAGAACCTGCAGCAATGAAGCTCATTTTTGCTGAAATTTAATTTTAGCAGTGGTGATTTGACCAGTCTCGCTACAGATTTTTTTTACGATCTGCCCTCCTAACAGAGCCAAAAGGTGAGATGACTAGAACCAATGTGTGGAGGTGCTAATATGGCTATAAAGGTGTCTGAGCTGAGGCAGGAGGAAACCATCTGCTTGGAAGAACTGTTCATATGATGATTAGCACTTAGGTGAAAATGGAGTCAATGCATGACTGTACAAAGATACATCTGCTTTGCACCTTGGCCTGAAGACCCTGAAAGAGCCAGTGCTTGTGTGTTATTTCATGGGAGCAAAAAAAGAAAGGAAGAATGAAAGCAGATGATCTTGCTGCTCCTAGATAGACTGCTGTGATTAATTTCCTTCTGAAAGGACATTATCACAGCATCACACTGTGTGTTTTTTACTTTCTGTAGGAAGGATGATATCCTCCAACAAAAGGCTATAGACATCTCAGAGTTCTCCCTTCTGCAATTGCAGTATCAAACCGGGTGTGAATCCCGATATTTTTGCCATGAAGTTTTAAACTTGCAGGGCTAGGAACCAAGATTAACCAAAGCTAAACAAAAAGGAAGTTAGAAGTTTCCATTTTCACTTACCAGTTTGGGGAAGAATTGGGTCCTCCTAACCCCCCAGGAAGTGGGTAAATAAGGACTAATGGTTCCCAACCATACACAAAAGGAACTCCTACCCTTGATTTGAGCATGGAGGCCTGCTTTGTGAAACGGACTAACAAATAAAGCTGTTTCCAATAAAAATTTCCTGTTTCCTCTTTAACACATTTGCCTGCTGTTTGCTTACACGACACAAGAATAAAGACTTAATTGTACTCCTTTTTGCATTTTTGTTGTTGTTGTTTTGTGGTGGGTTAAGGGATTTTTTTGGGAGTTGTTTTACTTTCTAAGAGATTTTCTTGTGTATCAGGACATTTAGAAATAATAGCATGATTTCTTTCTTGCCAGTGGCTCTTCTGTACAAGAGCCTCCTGCTGCTGGGGGAGGGCACAGGACACACATCTGCAAAGCTGCACATACATTTCTGGTCTGGAATGCATACTGGATTGTAGTTGATTGTAAAGGTTGTAACTGGCAAGGATGTTTGATTCAGAGAGGAAGTGGCACGGCAGGGATGGAGCAGGGGGTGACACTAGCCCCTTGCCTGCAGCAACTTGTATGGGTTCAGTTGCCAGGTCTTCATTGGAAAGATGTGCACGGTGGGATATTCCTTTGCAGAATCACTGGGGTTGGAGTATGACTTCCCAAAAAAGGGTCGGAGTGCAGTGTAGAGTTCCTCTGCAAGCTCCCTCTCCTCTCTCTCTCAGATGGCCCCAACCAAGCAGATGTGCTCAGCTGTGAGTTTGTAGCTCAGGTAATGATCTGTAACCTAGGTCTACTGGGAGACTGAACAAGGGCCTCTGGGTGCTGTCCCCCTCCTAACTTATTTTAGAAGTAGTGGGAAAATCTGATTTTGGAAGCTCTGTTCTTCCATCTCTTGTCCCTCATTATCGCAGTTGCCATTGATCCAGATGACAAGGACTTGCACATATTCCCTTGTCCACCTGGATATGAAACTGTGGCAGCTGGCCAACCCAGTGTTGCAGGGCTGATGCTGCTGAGCTGGAAGAAAAGCTGGTATTTGGAAAGTGTGGGAATGAGCTTTCTCTTCAAGCATAGTTTAAATGATTTGGCCAGAACCTCAGGTTTAACTAATGTACTTTATTCTCAAAGGCAGGTTCTTGTTAAGATGTGGTAATGAACTTTTTACCTACACAAGCTTTCAGCTGTTCAAGTTTGTATCTCTTACGTGAGGAAGCTCATTCTGTGTACTCAGCTTTCTGTGCAGCCTATTCAGCTCACCCTGGGCTGGATTCTCCCTCTGGCTATATTTTGATCTGCCTGAATTTCACATGCATGCACAGTTTTGTTCCTACTCTGTCTCCTCGGTAATCATCAAGGTTGAGATGGGGAAGCTGGGTTGGAAACAACCTTTTGGTTCATCTGGTCACAGCGCATTGGTACAGTCTAGGAACAATCCTGGATTTGGCCAACAAAAGGAGCTGCTTTTTTAGGTTCTGCCTCCACTCTGTTGCCCATACCCCTGCCACAACCCTCTCTGACACACATTGCATGGATGGAGGTGACACAGAGAGAGCCATGGCTGAGGGGGACTCCCTGTCCCCTTCTTCAAGACACATCTCCAAATCCCTTGCTCTTCCAAGAACTTGCAACGGGAGCCAGAGGCTAGAGCCCTGGCTTTCCCAAAATGTTTGAGATGGAAATGGGGCAAATACTGCTTTTAAACCCTTGGTGCTGTCCTGTACCCAGCCCTAGGCATTCGCCTAGCCCAGTCAGTGAACACATGCACTGTTGTGCTATCATTCCCTGCAATTTTTGTGGCCAGCCGGGAATAATTCGGGTGTTTTATTGCCTAGGCAGGCTTCTTGGGGGATTCACAAAGGTATTTTGAAAGCAAATATTCTATGAAAATCACAAAGGCACCTGACACCTGGGTGCCCATAAAACATGACTTCCATGTAACTTGCACATATACTTGCAGAAAACATACACAAAGCTTCTGTAGAGAACCCTAAAGTCTGATGAATGCATATTCATAATTTTCTAGCTCTAGAAATATTTTATAGGTCACACACCTGGGGTGCTTAGTAAAGGACCTGTGAACAAATATTTAAACACATTTAAGAGCCACTGTAGTAGTAAGGAATTTGACACTTTTTTCAATTGGTTATTAGGGATTTTTTTTCCTTTTTAAATCAAGTAAAATTCTAATTTGATCAAGACACTTCTGCAGGATGTGACCCATAAGATGGTGCATTTTGGTTTAAGCAGTCTTAAAAAATCTGCAATTAATTTTTTTACTTTTGTATTTTCATTGCTTCTGAGATAGCAATATCCTGTTTTTCTTGCTTTAGCAGTACAGATTTTAAATATATTTTAGATTCTTCTTGTTTTTTTCATTTCTTTATTAACTTTCCCATGTATTTCCTTAGCATACTGAAATTAAAATACTACTTTAAGCAAAACTTTACAGTCGCTTGCAATTGGAATTGAAGAATGCTTTTTCTTAATGAGTAGCTAAGTCAATATATCTGTACGTGCTTGTTCTCATGTGGTCCCATAACCCAAAGGTGAAGCAAACACAAGTTACACAAACGCCTGCTTGTCCTGACTTCAGCGAGAGTGGATTTTTAGGTGTTTATTTATCTGGAATGTTGTGCTTTGGCTCACCTTAACCCCTTGGTTTGGGTATGTATCTTAGCAAAGTAGTCTGTCAAAGCACAAATAATTTAACCCTGTTGTAGCAATTTGGGAAAAAAGGGGAGATTGTCGTAATTTTGGAGACGCTAAAAAGTGCCTGCCATTTCATCTGATTTTAATCATGTACCTATATCTCACTGGGAATATTTCATAACGTGCCAAAATCTTGAGATATTTTACTTATGTTATGTTTGGCTCTTCCCTGCCCTATATGCAGTAACTTGTATTCTGAACAATTCTGAGCAAAACCCTTTGTGCGTGGTTTCTGCAGCAGGTAGCTATAGTATCCTCTCCAAGTAGGTGGTAAAATTGTCTACTGAGTTGTACATAATGAAGCTTTTCTTTTCTGGTCCATCAAAAACAGTGAATATAATCAAAGCCAGATGAACTTTAAGAGTTTCTGATTGCTTGCTGTCTGTTTGATCCATTCTAAGCAGGGAGCTAAATTCCCAATAGCACTTTCTTGAATTTTTAGAACAAAATTAACCCAGATCATTTTCTGAACACTTGGAGAATACCCAAAATAACTTTTATATTGTCTTAGTTTGAGCTAATAAGATAACATATTCTTTATTTCTGCTTGTACTAGATAACAAATTAATTTATGTATAATGTATTCACAGGCTAATGTAACCCCTGGTCAGAATGTTTCCTTTCTTTCAGTGTCAAATATATGTATGTGAATAATTCCATTTTGCGGCATGCTGTTTTGGGCAGTGTGAGGGAAAGTTAGCTGAATATCCTGTAATACACCAAGTAACTCATGAATACTTTGAAGACCTCCAGTGAAACTAGATTGCCGTTGGGTAGCAAATATGCGCTTCAGTGAGCTGCAATACAGTGTGTCAGTTGTTCTTGGGTCTGTCGGTACTGTCTACAGTATGTTGAAGTGCAAAATACTATGAGCTCTATTAGGACTTTCTGTCAAGACAAAAGAGTTGTGCCAAGAGGATGATAAGATTTGTTGAACAAATGCTGCTCATGTCAATGGCGCTGCTGGTTCCTCTAGTGTTACCAAAACCTGTACGGAATAACCCATAATTCCTACAGCTTTTATCTGTTCCTGTTTCTCTGTTAAAATGATGAGCTGTTGATAAATCACGGGTGAATGCTAGTGACTTCGCAGAACCTAAGATCTGTTTGATCACAAGAAGAAAAGCAAACTGGGATAAGAAAACCCAGTTCTAAGCTGCCGGTTACTTTTGTGCTTATTTTGCAATGGGAATACTAGAAGTGGTGGGGAGGAAGTTTTTGCTTTGCAGTTCACTAATCAGAGGGTGTCTTGTTTCCATCCTCTTCCAGAAATCGAGGCCAAGGAAGCTTGTGACTGGCTGCGGGCTGCCGGGTTCCCACAGTATGCGCAGCTTTATGAAGGTAGGCACCTGAGCTTGCAAGTCCATCATCCCCTGGCAATTCTTGGACAATAAGATGTAATATTCACCAATAAATGAGGTTCAGGGGCACAACCGAAGCGCCAGGATAGAAGATGACTTTTAGGGCCTGGGCTGCTCTCTGCTACCCGCCACACACATAGATGTACCAAAACCAGTAGGACTCTGAAGCTCTCTTGGAGTTTTAAATTTGCTCCAGGATTCTGTTTTAGTCTGAATCTTCACAATGTCCTCATAGTACAAATGTTATGTTAGCACCATGGTACATTCCCTGCAGTTAAAACACTAATGAACTATATTTTCATGAACGTAGTCATCCACAGCTACAAACCCCGTCTTTGAGACACGCAGAAGCTGTGTCCAGCCCCACCGGCCAGCTCTCCTAATGGAGCAGAGGTAGAAATTGTGCGTATGCATGGATGCATCCATACGCCTCGTAATTCCCACATCCTCTGTGTTTTGTCAGAACCATTTGAGCTGGTGTCAGACACAGACTCACTGTGGAGGGGAAAAAAGAACATACGAGCTGTTGTTGTGCAGGTGAGCAGCAGCTCCTTGAAGAGACTGCTGCCTCCTGCACTCACCTGCCTTTCCTTGGGATGGGCTCACTTTGCTTGTTTGCTGTCACAAAGGTTTTCCTCAGTTAAAACTGTTGTCTTCATCACCTCTCTAACCTACTAGGAACTTGCAGTTTTGGCATACAGGTCTTTCACTCTGATGCAGCATAACATACAGAAGTTAGTTTTAAAGTGCGACATCCTTTTCATATATGTGTATTATTGTTCAAAATTTCCCCACCACTTAAAATTACTTGCATCGTAGTAAAATTATTATGCACTTTCCTCTGCCTCTTCTTTTTTATAAAACAAACTACAGCTGCTGCTTGTAAGAATGAGCATAGAAAGTCCATTATTTACAGTGAGTAACTGTTGGAAACTACAGCAAATGCTGAGCTGACCTTCTTGAAAAATGATCTTGTTGAGCTTTGATTTGCAGCTGCATTGGCAATATGAGATTATAATAGCACTTTCAAAAGCAGCACTTGGCAAAACTTTTCTTTGCCTGTTCAGAAATTAAATTTCCTTTTATTATTTCTCTTCCTTTTTTTTTTTTTTTTTGTGCTAATGGAGATGCCAAGATTTTCTTGGGATGCAGACCTGAGTCTGTACTTCCAGTCTTTGTTAAAACTTGGGGACAAGACTCAGCTGAATATGCTGGCTTTTAGGTTTCATGTTATGCTGAGCTGTAAATCCCCTAACAAATTATTTGCATTCAGAAAACATGTCCCACCTGTGGCTACCATTGCCCTGCCTCAAGACTCTGAACTTAAATAAAGTGTCTTAACGTCAGACCATGTCCTGCCTGACTTCAAAAGGACCGCAGAGATGAGAGCAAGGCCAGCCATACCCATTGAAAAGACAGCTGTCCTTATATGAAAACAATATGCCATTGTCCTCTGCAAGCCCCACTGGCAGCAAAACAAAGAGAGATTATCTACTGGTATAGAAAACCCAGAATATTGACCACCTTTCCACAGATTAACACCAGTCCTTTTCAGCTCATTCTTTCCTAGCCCCTGGAAATTAAAATATTTTATAGATAATCACTTGGACCAGGAAAGGGATATCCAACTGCAGCAGTATATTTGTAGTTTGACCTTGTATTCCTGTGTGCCCTGAACACCCAGTGGCTTTGGTGGGAGTCTTGGCTGTGCAAAGAATGCCAGATCAGGACCTCTGTGACAGTCAGGAATCTGTGGAGGACAGTAAATAATATATATGTGGTTGCTGCTTCAGAGCTGTAGTAAATTTTCAGCTCTCTGCCAACATTGTTTCCTCCCCCTCACTCTCCCAGTTGTTTACCTAAATAATCTCCTAAGGAAAAAGGAGGCAGTATGGGCTCCATGCAGCTTGGCTTGTCTTCCTTTCAGTCCGTATCTCTTTAACGTTGTAAGAGTGTCAAACTTTTAAATAGCTTGATTAACAGCCAAGGAGACTCAGTTTTTCATTCTTTTGCAAAGGTTTGGGGTTTACTGGCCTTTTTCTATTAGTACTTGGATGGAGATTGTATATTTATTTTAAATAAAGCTAGCCTGGGTCAGTTTATGCTTCTGATGTTGGACAGGGAGCTCTCACATTTGCCTGTTTCCCTCTCCTTCTGTTTTATCTCTGATTTGCTCATTTTTCCTTCATTTTGCATATGATCTTTGAGCTGTCAAAGCTACATGTCAAAAACTTGCCCATGAAAGGGAAGCATCTCTGGCATTTGAGGTGATAGCGTGTGTTCAAGTGCCAGTCACTGGCATCTTGATGAGCTCAATTGGGGGCAGCTGGTGGTTCTGAAATAACTCACCACTGGGAATAAGAGTCATTTTGATTCCATCTGTCTCTATTCCTACAGATCTCCTTTTTCCAATTGACACTGCTCTAGTCAAGCGAGAGCATGACTTTCTGGATAGAGATGCTATTGAGGCCTTATGCAGGTAGGTGAAAAAAAAAATCTCACTGCATTTTGAAACAGAACCCTTCCTGCGTAATGGAAAGTATAATCTGGGAAAGCCTAACCTCAACTGAATTATATACCATTAAATAAGCATTTGCTTGAGACCCTTTTATTATCCACTATCAGTATGCAGTTTTCATTAGAATAATATATCATAGAATCACAGAACACTTTGGGCTGGAAGGGACCTTAAAGACCATCTGGTTCCAACACCCCGGCGGTGGGCAGGGACACCCTCCACTAGAAGGTTCCAATATGTTGGGCTAAGTAAAGTTTGGGGATGTTATTTTAAACCAGGTTGGAAGAAAAGTGGCAGGAGTCTTTGTGACAGGTATTTCATAGGCATATTTTTTATTATTATTATTCTTGAATTGCTTTCATTACTAATTCCCAAATTAGTTAGGCATGTGAAAGCAGAACTGTGCTGGCTACAGTCATCTGAATGTACAACTGTAGCATCGGTTCCCACACAGGAATTGGTTTTTGAGAGCAGTATTAGCAAGGCCGTGCTCCATTGCTCTCCTTTTTTACCTCAGTGAGCAACTATGTATACAAACAAAGCAAAAAGCTATGTGTACGAACCCTTGTGCTGACCTCAGTGCATCACCCTATGTGCACCGTGGTCACCAGAGTGCATGTGGCTATGGCTGAAAGGGATAATGTGAGCGAATCCAAGAGTTTATCGCCACTGCAAAGATGGGCCTGTCCTCAGCCACGTGCTCCGATTACTTATATTTGTTGTTTATGGGCTCCTTCCACAAACCAGTTCAACTCACTCACCCCACAAAAAGAGTCTGGATAGTCCTTTGCTGGCCTAGTAAATTAAATCAGTCTGTGGAAAGGCATAATAAAGTTCAGAGTAAGGTGCAAAGGATGGGGCAGGACCCCACAGCCAGCTGCAGGATTAGAGATGGGTAGAGGAAAAAGAGAGCAAGACTTACTGGTGTGTGGCAACATGTTTTTACAGAACTACAGCCTCACCATTACCAATTTTATCATAAAAACCATTGCAATGGCCCCATTTGACTTACCCATCCATCAGTTACCTCCTCTAGTGTGAGTCCACAATCTTAAGTGAAAAAAAAAAGCCTAAACTTTTCATATCTCCTATTACCTAGAAATAAGTGCAGTTTTCTGCCTCTCTCATTCAGTATGGCAGCTTTCCAAATTGTCTGCAAAATGGATGCTTTTGGATAGTGCATGCATGATGTCTGCAACTCTAAACGTCAGTAATCCTAATGAATTACAAAACCCTTTTAAGAAAGGCTTTAAGTTTATAGCGTTCTCATGCCATCACTGCCATACTTGGAAGGGAA